CATTGGGACGCTTTTGCTACTTGCTGATTATGTAATTAGTGGAAATCATCACTAACGCCAAAACCCCCTTTACGGTTATCACTATACCTTTCAGTCAGATAGGAGATGACGTCATACAGACACCATGCGCGTTATAAATGCTATCTATTACTAATGCCAAAGTTCATATTTAGTTAATACTAGTTTTTACGGATTTTATCAGGTATATTTAATTTTTTAAATACCCGACGTTTCGTGCACTTTACAGCACCCATGCTCATGTAAAGTGCTCGTTGGTTAACGTTGGTTATTTAAAAAGTTAAATATACGCGATAAAATCCGTAAAAACTAGTATTATTTAAATGTCTAGTATTCCCGTAAATATAAGAAATCATTCATCTTTAGTATTTTATCTGGTCAGTTTCTATTTTTTAATCTTACGTTTCACGTGTTAACTCCCTGAATTGCATGAGTATACAAAAATGATGATATGAGAGCGATAAGGAACACACAGCCCACCAGATGGTAAGTGGTTGCTGCGGCCCATAGACATCTACATCTATCCGCGATTACAAGTCAAAATTCAGATGCGTTGTCACCCGTGAGGACTAAGATGGAATGCCTCGTTTCCAGTAAAAATGGTCTCTTGTTCTCTACACTCACCATACGAAACACAGCAGCATTAAGCTACTATTTTACGCTGGTATTCTGTGAGAGTGTGGTCCTTCCCCGTTCAAGCCAACCCATTAGTGCTACAACTATACTACTAATATAACTGCGGCATGGCTCTGCCACGTAAAAAAATTATACATCCCGAATTGAATATAATTTTGCAGTAACAGTATAATTAAATTACTTCTTTAATAAAAATAAATATAAAAAAATGATTATGATGTGAACCCTTTTAAAAATAAATTTAGATAATATATCGATGTCGTGTAGTTCATTTAACTAAGTAATGTGAGTAGGTAATGGCACCTTCATCTTAAACATTTACTTAAGGTTTGAAACACTATCTACAATTTGTTGTACTTACACTGTCTACGTAAAATAATAATCTTCCTACTTAATGTCGGCAATTATCTATTTTTTATCTTAAAATTCCATTAATTCACAGGCTTAAATATCTTACTAATATTATAAATGTGGAAGTTTGTTTGGATGTTTAAATGTTTGTTTGAAATGAATGTTTATGGATCAATGAAGTAAACACTGCAGATTGGATATTGATGAAACTTCACAATAATTTAGATGAGAACCCAGAATAGGACATAAAATTTTTTTTAGGTTTAGGTTTTGGAAGTGGAAGTTGGAGGTGGCTGATAGCCAAGAAGGAGGGATACAGGTCGGATCCTAGATCATCGAGAGACTCGATTGCTCTAAGGTTAAGGGAGACTCCTTTAAATAGAGCAAAGTCTGGCACGTCAGGAGCGTAGTTAACGTTGTCGAGATAGTGGGTGACAGCGAGGGGGCTATAGACAGTCAGGTCGAGAGACTGAGTGATATTGAGTAGCACCCTGCCACTACTACTAGTAGTGCGGAAGGTCCATTCAGTATGCTTGGAGTTAAAATCTCCAAACATAATGACTGTGTCGTCTAATGCAAGGATGGCTTCGAAATCACTCTTAACGGGGAGGGTTCCGCTAGGGATATAGCAAGAGGCTATAATGATAGACTGGTGTCCAGTCATGGCTAATCTAGTGATAGTGGCTTTCATACTGGTAAGCGTCGGAGTGGGGATGTGGGAGCAATGAAGGGACTTTTTGTAATAAATGGCAGTACCACCGCTTTTGCGGTCGGGTCTGTCATTACGAAGAAGTGAATAATTTTTAATAGAGAGGCCTTTAGAGACCTTAGGGCTGAAGTGGGTCTCCTGAAGGAGGAGGAGGTCGGCTTCGCGATCTCCAAGAAATAGCCTAAGCTCTGGGAGGTTATTTCGCAAACTATATTGAACGAAACAAGCGACAAACCCTTTGGTTTGATACGACCGTGCGATATTGCGGGAGCAGAGGGCTCCGGCATAGTGTTATTACAACGACCTTAGTAGGTCGATGTGCTCAGCAAGAGCAAGGAGACGGTCCTGAGGGGACTGAGCAGCGCGCAGTTTACGCGCAAGGATAGAGATTTCCCCTATATTGATCTTATTCACAGTGTTAGACACTAGGCTTAGATCATCTCTATAGGGTCTGTCTGTTTTTGTGGGTCGGCGGAGGGCCGCGGGATATTATTTGCCTTTGGGAACCAAGGGTTTATTGGGAGCGGTGCAGGCTGGGAGAGCGGAAGGCTCATAAGGGGCCGTAGAGGGGCCTGAGGTGGCCGATAGGGGCCCTGAGGGGGGCCGATAGATGCCCTGTGTGGGCTGAGATGTGCCCTGAGGGGGGCTGTGGTAGGGGCTGGCCCTGGCGGGGTATGTGGCTTGCAAGAGCCGGGAAAGTTCGGTCATTGACCTGGGGTGGAGCTGTGTGGCTCAGAAGTGGGCGAGGAGCGCGAGGGCAGCCTCTAAAGTAGGCCGGGTGGCCTGTTTGTCCGCATAGGACACATGCGGGTTTATAGGCACTTAACGCACCTGGGTGGGGCTGAGCAGTTGACTGCCGCGTGCCCATAGAGTTGGCAGCGATGGCACTGCGCTTGGTAACCACGCTGGTGTGGGGCTTCGACCTTTACACGCGACAGGCCGCACACAGTGCGTACCTCGCGGAAGATGGCCTTCACCTCCGGCACATTGGTGAGAAAGAGGAGGGCGAGGTTAAATCTCTCGGCCCTGCTGCTGTGCATCTTGTGCACAGCCTCTATGGGGAAGCCTTGGGACTTAAGGTCTTCCAGAATGTCCTCGTTTGCGAGTTCATAAGGAACTCCGCGGAGGACCGCCTTGATTTTCCTTTCTTCGGCGAGAGCGTATGTGCGATACATACGCTCGGCCGTGAAGAGACGGGTTATATTCCGGAAGTCTTCTATAGACGCCGGCATTATTTTGATGGCCCCGCCGACATTGGTGGCTTGGTTATTTGGTTTTGGACAGCTGTGTAAACTTCGCCTTGTCTCTGAGAAAGACAGGGGGCGGGGCTTGGCTTTTAGCCAGTTTGGGAACGCGGCGTGTTGCTGACTTGGCGGTAGTGTCTTTCGACTGAGAGGCGGCAGCGTTAGAGGCTGCGGAAGTAGAGGAAACGATGGAGGCCGCGAAGGTTGAGGCAGCGGCGGAGGGGCGGGGGGAGTGCGAAAAGTCGCGGCGCGCTTCGGGCCGCGCTTGGATTTCACTAGCGTGAATTGGGCTGTATCGGTGACCGTTCCTTCGGAGTCGGATGACTCCAAGGAGCCGGTGGAGCTGTGGGCGGTCCTCTTCCGGGATGAGAAGGTAACGGACGTGGTGTCCGAGTGCTCCATATCGGAGTCGGGGTACGAGGGCGAGTCGGTCTGCGGGGCAGCCACTTGGGTCGCGAGGAAAGCCGCGACGGCGGGCGGACACATATTTACACTCATGATTTTTTATTCAAGTAACCAGTTCAGTTTTTTCTATTATGTCGCTAAGATCAAAAAATATTATTCGTATTTCATCAGTATGTAATTTGTATCTAAATATAATTTCCAAAACACACGAATTAAAAAAAACCGAGCGAAAAATACCGAGCAAAGCTCGGTCAACCAGGTACTTATTTTTAAATTTTAACAACTAACGTCCTTTCCAATGTATGAAAGGAAAAAGTACCCACTACTAACACTCATTACGGATTGATAACAGTCTCAAGATAATAGTACTTTAATATTATAACATGCCACAAGACCGTACGGAAAAGTGATGTATATTATTAAAAGTTGGTACCATTGTTATGCCAAAAGGACTTATGTAAAAGACATAATATTATGAGAGAAATTTAATTTTTTTTATCGGACATAGACAGTACTTGTGCTAACAATTGTACTCGCAGCAAGCAAAATAAACAAGAGTACTATGATTTCTATTTCGAGTTAGATTGAATCCTTTACTGTATACGTTGAAGAAAAAAAAAAACAAAATAAATACAGCTTGCTTAGTAATCACTGGTATTAAAAACTACAAAACCTGAGTATTATTATTGTGTAAAATAAATTTTAAATTTATGATACTTAATAATTTATCAAATTTATATTTACATAATATTTTCGACGTCGTTTCTTGAATTTTATTGAATGTAAACATTCTAAAAAGACACTCAAACACGATACGATTGATATGTAAAATAAAGTCACTAAAACCGTTCTAATAAAACTGGGAAGACAAAATATACTAACGCCCCATTTTCATCAATTTCTACATAAAGCAAATTTACTTATCTACATATAACCTAGTATTTACGACCGAAAAAAATACTAAATTGACATCAATGACTCAAACTACAGTATTTTGAGTTGCTGAACCTAATTGAAATGTCTGTTGTCAGTAAATCAAAATACTAAGCTGACAACGACTAAAAATTAACCATAACTTGTTTTATATATTTGTCAAAACTTGAAAATTATGATAAATATCTTACTTTTGCCGTGCTTAAGCGCCAAAAAAGTGCTCAGATCATCACGTAATACAGACTAATCGGCACAGAAAAAAAAAACGAATCCAACGATATATATAAATCATTGCAAAAATTAACAAATATGATTAAGTCCTGTAGATTAACAGCGAGAATAAAATTTTCACAAAACAGTCCATATATTCATTAAAATCAAATGATATAAGGGAAATATTGTTCAAAATTAAATACTTGTGATGAATAACGTATTTATTTAGATAAGTATTAGTACCATGTTTATAAAAACGTCATGGCCAATAATGTATTATTTTAGAACTAATTTGATTGCCATAAAAAATGTTATAGTGAATTGTCCATAGAAGATGCTACCCCGGTCTTTTTTAGAACTTTTTAAGAGGAACAATTTCGTCATACATGATTGTTGCGTAGCTTTTATCGATTACGCAGCATCGAAACTTAATTTGGGATACTCGAAACTCATTCTGGGGTACTCGAAACTCATTTTGGGATGCTCGAAACTTATTTTGGTATACTCGAAACTCTTTTTGGATAGTCGAAACTCAATTTGGGATAGTCGAAATTCAATTTGGGATACTCGAAGCTCAATTTGTGATATTCGAAACTCAATTTGGGATACTTGAAACTCATTTTGGGATACTCGAAACTCATTTTGGGATACTCGAAACTCAATTTGGGATACTCGAAACTCATTCTAGGATACTCGAAACTCAATTTGGGATACTCGAAACTCATTCTAGGATACTCGAAACTCAATTTGGGATACTCGAAACTCAATTTGGGATACTCGAAACTCATTTTGAGATACTCGAAAACTCATTTTGGGATACTCGAAACTCATTCTAGGATACTCGAAACTCAATTTGGGATACTCGAAACTCAAGTGTGATACTCGAAACTCAATTTGGGATACTCGAAACTCAATTTGGTATACTCAAAACTCAATTTGGGACACTCGAAACTCAATTTAGGATACTCGAAACTCAATTTGGGGTACTCGAAACTCATTTTGGGATACTTGAAAATCATTTTGGGATTTTCGAAACTTATTTTGGGATACTCGAAACTCAATTTGGAATACTCGAAACTCATTTTGGGATACTCGAAACTCAATTTGGAATACTCGAAACTCAATTTGGGATACTTGAACAGCGCACGCAACGGAAGTTCTCAAAAGGAATAATTTTTCCCCGCTTTTGCAACACTTTTCATTGACGCTCTGCTCCTATTGGTTGTAGCGTGATGTTATAGCCTATAGCCATCCTTGATAAATGGGCTATCAAAAACTAAAATAATTTTTCAATTTGAACCAGTAGTTCCTGAGATTAGCGTGTAATTATGACCTATTATATATAATATTTTGATATATGTAATAAAAATATAATTAATTATAATAATATAAATTAAATAAATAATATATAGTATATATTTATAATAGGAAAACTTACAGCTATTAATTAACGTAAAGTAATCCTATTAAAATTATGTGCTAAACCATCTAGTAATTAATATAAGGCAAAGCATTAACTACTAATTAATATTACACCAGCCCAATCACAAAAAAGGCGTAAACATTTATTTACTACATAAATTAGACATAAAGTGGTGTAGATGATGTTAAAAATTCTGTTTCTGTTAAAAATGCGCTGTCAGCGCTGCCAGCTGCAAATAATTAAATTATTTTACGATATGACCGTAACATGAAATAGCAATGTTGGGTTTTTAATATCGTCAAATGATTTCTATTCTTTCATTTGGTAAAATTTTATGAAATGTCACCATTTCACGAAATTATCGATAACTTTATGGTTCGACTAACTCTATGATCTGGTTAATAAGATTTTTCCAATTGTTATTGTCATTGAAATTTGATTTATTAGTAACTGAAGGCAAAATACTTTTTGTATTTTATCATATATGGCGCTGTTTTGAATAAGTGAAACGTAAATCGTCGGTGTAGTTTTAAATTAAAATTAAAAAGTAAAGTTTCCGCTTTATTTATAAATATGGTATTTATTTTAAAAAAAATACAGCGATATCCCGCTAATTATCATAATATGTTTAGTAGAAATTAACATATAAGGAAAAGAAAATAAGTAACCCTATTATTTAAAATTCGTAGTTGGATAAAGTATAAGCTATAAGTTGCACCTGGTCCCTGAAAACCTACACACAAAATTTAATAGTAAACCCTCCAGTAGTTTTGCGTTAACCGTGAGTAAATAGACAGACAGCCATGCTGCAGTAGTAGTAGTAGTATAGTTGTAGCACGAATGGGTTGGCTCGACCGGGGAAATACCAGCGTAAAATAGTAGCTTAATGCTACTGCCTTTCGTATGGTGAGTGTAGAAAAACGGCGACCCTTTTTACTGGAAACTGGACTAAGATCGAATGCCTCATTCCATCTTAGTCCTCACGGGTGAAAACGCATTTGCATTTTGATTTGTAATCGAGGATAGATGTAGATGTCTATGGGCCGCAGCAACCACTTACCATCAGGTGGACTGTGTGCTCGTTTGTCACCCTATCCTATAAAAAAAACATGCGTGCAGCTCACACGCTGATGACAGAAGTGAAACGTTCGAATGAAATTAAATATTAAATACAAATACTTTAAATTTTTTATTTAACATTATAATTTAAACTACAAGTTCGGCTTAAAATATAATTTATAAGCTCCTGTAAATCCAAGGTTCTACAAGCGGTATGTAGGCGACACTTTCATAATTTTACCATTTGACAAAGTAACTGCATTTTTAGACCACCTTAACTCCATTAACTCTAAAATACAATTCACAATGGACTTAGAGGCAAATAATTCTTTAGCCTTCCTAGATGTTTTAGACATCCGAAATCCAGATAACACTATTGGTCATACTGTGTATAGGAAAAAGATCCATACCAACCGATATCTAAATGGCGAATCTCACCATCATCCTTCACAGTTAGCTACCGTGGGTAAATCGTTGTTTTAGAGTGCACGAGGATCTGTGACAGAAAACATCTGGCCGCCGAGCTTCAGCACATCAAGCAAGTATTTTTTTTTTTTTTATAGAAGAGGGGCAAACGAGCATGTGGCTCACCTGATGTTAAGTGACTACCGCCGCCCATGATCAACCGCAACACCAGGGGAATTGCAGGTGCGTTGCCGGCCCTTTAGAAAGGAGTAAGCTCTTTTCTTGAAGGTCCCCAGGTCGTATCGGTCCGGAAAAATCACCGGTGGTAAATTATTCCACAGAGAGGTTGTACGCGGAAGAAAACTCCTTTTGAAACGTACAGTGGTGGACCGCCAAGCATCCAGATGGTGTGGATGGTATCGGGACGTTTGCCGTGTAGAAAAGTATTGCAAGACAACAAGCTTCGGGTTCCTGGCCTACGTCACAGTAAACGAGTGAAGCCGTCTACAGTCGAGCGTGTACCTGCTGTAATGTGTTAGAGGAGTCACTGATAAGATTGACTACATCTTAAAGCGCGCTTCCATTAAAACCTACTTCAAACCGCTGAAGAAGTTTGGTCAGTTTTTACCATCAGTCAAGTGTAACGTCCCTCTGCAAGATGCAGGAGTGTACAAGCCAGATTGTGAATGTGGTCTCTCTTACATAAGTCAAACAAAAAGAACTATAAAAACCCACGTGAAGGAACATATAGCTGACATGAAGCATCAACGCTCAAAAGTCTGTAGTCTGCGGACGTGTTTAAGATCGTCCCTACCATTACATAAGATTTGATAAACCACAAATCCTCGCAAAAGTACACCGATTGCTACCAAGGATGATATGCGAGGCTATTGAAATTAAAAAAACATCCAAATTTCAATAGAGAAGATAGATGGGTACTGCCATCTGCTTGGGATCCAGGAATTAACAAAATTAAACCCAAACTCATGCATACCACTGCAAGACTTCATGATACTACTTATAAGCTCATTTTGCGTAAATCGGACCAAAAATTAATATTCATAAACTGAAGGTAGCCGGACTAACTATGACATTGGGACGTCAAACACCTCAGTCCCCCCCCCCCCCGTGACCATGGGTACTGTAAAGCACCCTAAACGTCGGGATAGTAAAAATAAGTTAAAGTAGTAATTAAACGCGATAAAATCCGTAAAGTCATGGAAGGAGTTCGTGTATAAAAGAAAATTTTCCTAAGTTATGGGTGCTCATGTATAGATGACTTGTAAGGAGGAGCTGCCAGAGTTACCCAAGATTACCAAAGATAGAGATACCCAAGGTTATATATGGGGTGGTCAGGTGCCCGACTGCTTTAAGCACAATGACTAGTCCTATATTAGGAACTGAGAGTAAGCTCTATTATACCAAAGCATTATTATAGAAGGTCTCCTTGATGCATGAGCATTATGATACTAGAGCTATGGGTTGAAGTCCCATATATTAAAGATATGATAATAAGGTCTATGATACAAAAACATTTTTATAGAAGGTCTCTATGATGAATTAGTATTACAATACTAGAGTTGTGGGTTGAAGACCCATATACCTAGGTGGATTGAAAAGTACTCGGCCTAACACAGATCCATTCAATTCTAAAAATCAAATCTACCCACATTATTTAGTTCAGTTCAGACTAGTTCATTGTGTGAAGTTCGAAACGTGTGCGATAATTAGTTGTGATTTTATAAATTTATTAACAAAGTAATCGGACATAATTTCCGCGAATGGAGCAAATCGAGCAGCGTGCCGTCATTAAGTACCTCCATAAGAAGGGGCTATCATCAAAAGCCATCCATGATGACATGGTCAGTACATTAGGCGATTGTGCTCTGTCATATTCATCCGTCAAAAAATGGATAGCAGAATTTAAGCGTGGTAGAGAGAGTGTGAAAGATGAACCCCGCTCTGGAAGGCCTTCGACGTCAACTACTGACGAAAATATTAAAAAAGTACTTGATTTAATAATGGGAGACCGCAGATTAAAAATTAGAGAGATAGCCGAGATTATAGGCATCTCTTATGAACGAACTCAAAACATCATTGTCAACGAGTTGGGTTTCCACAAGGTGTCTGCGAGGTGGGTTCCGCGACTGCTTTCAGTTGAACAAAAAAAGGACGCGATTGACTATTTCACGCGACTGTTTGGAGTTATTTGAAGCCGATGCAGATGATTTTTTGAATCGTTTTGTTACTATGGACGAAACATGGGTTCATTACTGTACACCGGAAACAAAACAACAATCAAAACAGTGGAGAAGACCTGGTTCACCACCCCTAAAAAGGCTAAGTCGATTTTGTCGGCAAATAAGGTGATGGCTTCAGTATTCTGGGACTCGAAAGGTGTGATTATGATTGATTATCTTGAAAGGGGTCAGACTATAAACTCTGATTACTACTGCACCTTACTACGTCATTTACGAGAGGAAATAAAAGAAAAACGTCGAGGAATGCTCAGAAGAAAAGTCCTGTATCATCAAGATAACGCCCGTGTTCACACGTCAGTACAGTCAATGGCTGAAATTCACAACTGTGGCTTTGAACTGTTACCGCATCCGCCGTATTCACCTGATCTGGCACCATCAGACTTCTTTCTGTTCCCTAACCTAAAAAAGCACTTGGGAGGTCAAAGATTTTCGACAAACGACGAGGTCAAAGCAGCTGTAGACGCATATTTTGACTCTAAGGAAGAATCATTTTTTTTCAACGGTCTAAATGCTTGGAAGGGGAGGTGGCAAAAGTGTATTGAACTTGATGGTGATTATGTAGAAAAATAAAAATATAACTGATTTAGTATGTGTTTATTTTCTTGGTTAGGCCGAGTACTTTTCAATCCACCCTCGTATT